ATAGGCAGGAAGTTCAAGAAACGATCTAAAAATGGACTCAATCTACAAAGATAACTCTCAACAAAAAATTGAAACTAAAACTCATCACTATCGCAATTCCCTTTCCTCACAAGAAATGGAAGTTTTCTCGAGTGGTTCTACAAATAATAGCTACTTGCAAATAAGAATATATTAACGTATTTCAACAAAAGTAACTTATTTACTTAATTATAAAGAAAGCCAGTCTTCCTGTTGTTGTTGTTGTTGTTGTTATTTGGTCTCTCTAATTTGACAAAATTCTCAACAATAATTAATTATTGTTGTTTACTCAGAAATAAGTCTTGTGGAAATTACACCATACCATACCAGAATTTTCAACTTTCAATGTCAAATTTCAGATTTACAAGTTTTTATTTCAAAAATCAGAGTTTTAAATATTACTATTATTATTATTATTATCTAAAATTTAAACTAATCCATCCCCAAACCCTAAAACCAATTTCAACTCTCTTCTCCCTCTCTCCATTTTCTCTCCTCCATGTCCTCTCCTCTCACTCTCTCTACCAAACCACCACCGTCGCCGTCCGATAAATCCACTCTCCTCCATGTCCTCTCCGTATCTATCCTATTTTGTATCTGCCAACGGAATCGTTCGATATGTGACAGCAATTTCCTTCCTCTCTGTCGATGGCGCAACCTCGCACCACTAACGTGATGTGGCCTATACCACTGGTGTTCTGGTTCTGGTGATGGTGTTGTGGTGATGGCGTTGTAGGTCCGATTTGTTGGTTTTTTTTGTGGCGGTGATGGCGATTTTAGTGTTGGTTGGGCGACGATTTTGTTGATTTTTGGGAGGCGATCTGGTGTTTGGGCGACGATGTTGGATCTTGTTGGTGCAGTGGTGACGGTGGTTTTGTTGGTGGTTGTGGTGACGATGTGGGGGTGTTGGTGGATTTGAAGTTGAAAATTTGTTGGAGGTGGTCGGCGGCGATGATAGTAGGGTTGGGGATTTTTTGGGTTGTAGGATGGGGTGGCGGTGAAGGTTGTGGTGGTGGTTCCGACGACAGGGTTTCGATTGCCATGCTGTTGGTGGGAGTGATGCAGTGGTGGTCACAAATTATTTGATCGATTGTGACCATTAAATTGGTTAATCTGTGACCAATAAACAATATGTGACAAATGAAAAAGATAAATTGTGACCAAGAAACCAATAAATAATGGGTAGGGATGACAAAAAAGGTCGTCGGCTCGAGCGGCTCAGGATTGGTTACACCGAGCAGAGGCTCTGGCCGAGCCCCATTTTGGGGCGTCGGCTCAAGCCCCTCCCGTGCGAGCCTGCCATTAAAAATAAAAAAAATTAAATTAATTTTTTTTAAAGGAGCTGCCTGCAACATGCAGCTATTTTTAGTTGCCTGAAAGGCTGCCTGCTGCAGACTTAAAAAAAATCAAAAAATCCGAGCCCGCTAGGCTCGGCCCGGCCAGGCCCGATAAGGCTCGGGTCGAGCCTCATTTTTTTGATTGGGCTTTGTTCGGCTCGGGCCCAAAAAAGCTCAAGCCGAGCACGAACTTTTTTTTTCGATTCGACTCGTTGACATAGCTAATAATGGGTGACCAATATATAGATTGTGACTTATAAATTGTGATCAAGAAATAATGTGTGACCTAAAATATTGTTAACTTTTGATCGAAAATTTGTGACTGATAAGTTGTGACCTATAATAATTGTGATTTATGATCGATAAATCAATCGTGAGGTATAAATTTTTTATTTGTG